AGGCCTCCAGCTTCTCGTCCTCCACCTCCGGACGCCCCAGGACCTCGGGGCCACTCACCACGTACAGGCGGGTGGATTGTCCGAACTGCAAGATGTCACCCACATGGAGGCTCTCCCATGATCGGGGTGGCAAGCCTGCAGGAAGGGAAAGAGGGAGGAAGGCAGGGGGGGAGGATGAGGGTGCAGCTCGACTAGCGCGTTCGTCTCCCCCGGCATTTACGGTGCGGAGGCGTCACAGGTAGCACATAGCAGCCTTGCATCTTTTACCTGCCCTTCCCTCCCGCTCCCCTTTTTCCCCTATTCATTCCCCTCAACTTACGTTGTTTGTTAAGGTACGTGCCATGCGTGCTCCCAAGGTCCTGGACGTGCAGTGTGCCGTCGGCTTTTCGGAACTGACAGACCGCGTGGACCCGGGAGACGGTCGGATTATCGAGGACAAAATTAACGGCTCCCGGGAGACGACCGAAGGTGTAGTAATGCTGGCACGAGGAAGGCGTTTGAGACGAAGCTGTGTCCGCGGGAACATAAGGCTTTGACGGCGTTGGGGAGGCGAAGAGATCGAGTCGATCGACCTCGACACCGTTCCTGAGGACCTCCAAGGTAACAGCTGGCTCCGACGGTGAAGGCCGCCCCCCCCACGATGGAGGCATGTAAGCACTTGAGATAGTAGAGTTCGGATGAGGTGGTGCTTGTGCCGAGGCCGAAGCAGGAGGGACGGTATCAGTCTTCGGAAGCGGCGGAGGGCGGCGAGGGGCGGGAGGTTCCATTCCTTACGGCCACAAATCACGCGAGATGGACGCAAACAATGGAGCGGCAGCTTCCGAACTAATTTATTTTTCAAATTTGTGGCAGATCGTGGAAAGATAGCATGCAGGTCCAGGATCCGTGACGAGAGGAAGAGACTGATTGCGAGCCTGTATCATCCAAGGGGAATGCGGGAAGCCCCGGCACCAGCCACAGTTAAACAAAAGCGCGAACCAGAACAGGCAAAGAAAAGACTTACACATACCTACACCACCTACATATTACCCTGGCATCGTCATTCCACCATTATTACACCAACAGTCCACATACACCGTGCCCCCTCCCCCCCCGAGAAGCGGACACCTTCTCTTCCCGGGGGGGCCTTCGCGCAATTTTTAAATTTCTCCCTTGCCGACGAAACGATTTTTTGAAATTTGACTCCCGTCGAACGCTTTTTGCGTCCTTCTTCGACCCACGGTACCATCATGCCTGGAAGAGAAAATATTTCACCAGCGGACTACCTGTATCACATGAAAGTATACTGGACACGATGGCGGGTGGATGTTGGGACTATAAGGCAGGATTGACCGCACAAGATTTCATAAAGCGGCCCATCTGATATACTTGACACGCCAAGAACGCGTTCTTCCTTCTTTCTCTCCAGATATCGCGGCGCGAGGCGATATCATCGTTAAGCCTTCCCCTTTCGGAATCTAACCACTCATTTACAGCTTATTCTGCGTGCATGTTCCATTTTAAGAACTTAAATCTAGATATCACATTAACTTCTTTCCCCCCGTTTATTCTTCCTTAACGGCACGCACGGTCACACTTCTCTGTGCGCCGTCTCTTTTCACAGGTTTCCTTCCCAAATCCTCGTCCTTATATGAAAATCCATTGCCTCTGAAATCCTGGGCGCCAAATATCGATTCGGCCGAATTATGGGTGGTGGGACGTGGACAAATGCTGTTGCACCGTTTGTGCTGCTCGCGTTTGCCATCCTGGGTGAAGGGGCCCCTCACAGATGGACCCAAGCCCCTGCAACGCCATATAGTATGCCATATGCATATCCACAGGTATGTTAATGACATAAACGGGAAATGCAGTCAAGTGGACGGACGTTAAGATGGAAGTCTCGGGTGGGCGCCGGCAGTAGGACTGAGAGGAGGGAAGCAGGGAAGGTTCGGGGCAGGTTTGGCGCCTCTTGCCTATTGAATTTCATAAGGTCTGTGGGTGTAGCTATGTCGTTAAAAAGCCATGTCGACCCAGCAAGTGCCTTGAGTCTTTCCCCCTAAAAACCATGAAAAGCCAAAAGGTAGAGGAGACCCAATGCGTGCGCCCTATGCAGTACCTTCCTCCTCTCCTACCTCGCCTTTTCGATTTTTAAATCCTCCCTTGAATTTTGCAGGAAGTAGGCGTGAGCAACGACATCACAGGCCGGTTGCAGCCACTCCTGGACAAGTTGACCGCAGAGCGGAAAGTACCAGGCTCCGTCGTGATGATGGCACGGTAGGGAAACTAGGGAGGGGGAGGAGCAGAGGGAAAGAGGGAGGGAAGGGGAACGTGGACAGGCACAAGGCCGAGAGCGAGCTTGCTGATTGCTTCCCCTCCCTTCGCTACAACAGGCATGGAAAGATCATCCTGGAGCAGTGGTCTGGCTACGACAACCCGCATTACATCTTCCGCTTGTTCTCCCAGTCCAAGCCCATCACGGCCGCCGCCACCCTCATCTGCGTGGACGACGAGCTCTTTAGTCTGGAGGATCCTATCGTCAAGTTCATCCCGGAATTTAGGGTGCGTTTCTCCTCTTATGGATCCCGCCGGGGTGCTCCGGAGGCTCCTTCCCTACCTCTGGCCCTCCCTCCCTCCATCCTTCCTTCGCTCACGTCCTCCCTTCTCTCTCCTTCCATTCCCCCCCCCTACCCAGACCTTGCGGGTCATCGTCAACGCCACACAGGGCGCGGCCATTGAGACCACTCCCCTCCGAAGAGAGATCACCAGAACGAGGCTCGCGCACATGTGTAA